AAACACTCACGCCCATCGTATTTTGGAAAAGATAGTAGATATTAGACTAACGTGTCCTTTTCGAACCTAGGCGTAAATCATGAAGAGAATGAATAAAGAATAAATCATTGCACCATATTTAATATAGAAAGAACAAATGAGTTAATATACGCCCAATTACTATTGTCTGATTTAAAAGTCGAAAAACAAGAAAAGAATTTATTTTTATAGCTAAGCTAATTATCGACTGAATTTAACAAGTCAAATATTTGGTAGATGCTTCGAGGAATCAACAGAAATAAAATCTTAGATAGTAGTGTGACAAACATATTTTATTTCACGACAAATCGTGCGTTAGTTTGTCCGTCTTGCCAACGTTCTAATATTCTTGTAGAAACGAAATTAAGCAATGTAAAGCAGATTCCAAATTCATTTACATAAAGTGTTTAATTCTGATGCTATGAAAGAAAGTCAATCTACACCGATTTATCTTATTACAAAAATTCTGTTACTACTTGCAGCAAAACATAGGATGTATCTGAACTTTTTACATTCAAAATGACATTATCGAATTTTGACACTCCTTTCCGATTCTTGTCGTTAATTTTTTTGATTTATCGATTGAATTTACTGAAAAGTAGTTGAGACGTACAAACAAGGTTAAAACACTAAATTTGTCATATTATACATTGATTTGAGATGGTTTGTTCTGTAGTTTTTTATTGTCTAATAAAATGCTGAAGTTTATCTTGTTGAAAAAATCTGTAATTTCTTTTTAATATACACATATATAAACAGACACATACACAGGTTTATATAAACAAACAAACAAACAATCACAATCAAAAGACATGATACACACGAAAATAAAACATTTGCAAAAGAATACACAAAAAGAAAACTAATTGAGTTCAGCACACTTGCACACACAAATTTCTAACTATCAAAAATACAAGGCTTATTTTTGTTATGAAACAAACCATGAAAAGTGGCTTGCCAACACACACAAGTAGAAGAAAAGAGAAAGGAGAAGCGAACAAATACTCCATAAAAAAAAAGCGAAACAAAGCGTGTTCGAATGTACAGATAAAAGATAATTCAAATAGGTGATTTTCTAATAGAGAGAAAGAGAGAGCGAGAGACGCACACACACACTGAGATAATTTAAAGATCATTCATTATAAAAATCCATTCTCAATCTGTAAATGGTAAATCAGCAGTTGAGCCAGGAAAAAGTTCACGAGGTGAGGGAGGTGGTATACTAACAGGGTCGGGAACAAAAGGTGGAATTAATGCACCACCAGCATCATTAAATGGACCAACGATTCGATCTTCACGACGATCTAAACAAAAAACATAATAGTTTTCTCTTTGATACTCAGTTATCACGTTCACAGATACCATTATCATTGCTACCATCGATGAGACTGTTCACTGAACGACTACGAACACACTGAAAATCAACATGACGACTTTTCGCTTCTTCCTTTTCCCATGACATTCTTAAAAATGGTCGTTGAATGTAACTGTAAATGGCTACAATGAAGTAGAGAGAACGTTCAAATAAACATCAATGTACACGTAGAAATTAATAGAGACGTTGAAAAAATTGTCGTTTACTATTGTTACTAAATAAAACAATTTCATAATTACCTTCTGGCCTAGCTCGAGGGCGACATCGAATTTTTTCTTTGTGTGTTGGATAACCTTGAAAAAGAGCGAGAAATTGATTATAGATAAATAGACCAGAAGCATACAGAAATCTTTACCTTCGATTCCCATTCTAATTTTCTTCAATCCACGATCTTTCAATACTTGTTTGGCTACTTCACGATTTTCAACATACTTAAAAAATCGATACATTTGGGTCGAACGAATAACTGAAAATACATGTTTTGCATAGTGTATACTTTCAAGATCTCTCACTCTCTTTCACATACTTTGTGCTTTATCCTCTTCTTGTCCAAGTGGTGGTGGGTAATCTTCATCCCATTCAATTGTGTCATCTGTACACAAAATAACTATTTGACATTCTCTGTCACCTCGCTAAAATTAAAAAATCATGAAACTATCATTTCTTTTCATTTAACATCAACTTTACATCTCAAACAATGAGACTAGTCAATCTTACTTGAGCTGATTCGACAAGTACAGGAAATATATCATTTTCCAAGAACATTTCAAATTGTTTTTTAGCACCATCGTTCGATAATTCATGTAATAAACCACCTACGACAATCATAAGATGGCTATTGCAAGAAAAGATCAACATTGAAAAAAGAGAAGTGTTACTTACATAAATCTTGACAGTGTATTGTCGAAAAATCGAATAGTATAAGAAAATAATCACACGCTTCTCTCAAATCTTGAACGCTAACCATTGGTGGACAACGTATTGTTCCAATACTGTAAAAATCCTGAAAAAAAATGATATATCTCTTTATACTGAAAATGAAATATGATAAGCGGTGTGTTAGATCTTGTTAAACGATTCACGAAATATGATAATGATTCGAGTTTTAAAGCAAATAAGAATAGATTCTTGCCAGCAATTTTCTACATTCCCAAGATTAAAAATAATGGTAAAGATGATTGGAGTGAGAAGAGTTTAATTACATACCAACAGTGCACGAAATATCGTTGATGATATGCCATTTGCCAATTCATATTCACCTCGTTCATTTGCTGCTATTGAAGTTTCCCAAGACGAACTGAACATTCTAGAGAAAAAAAAAAGAATATTTACAATCTTTTAAGTATATATATGTAGTTTCTACTCAGACTAACCGTCCCAACATTGTGTTCGGATGTGCTCTGAACAGATTTGGATCAATAACAAAACGTGTTTCATCGACAACGAGTGTTACATTTTGTGTTGTTCGAGAGTCATTTTTAACATTGTTTGGATTTGTTAGAATGGTCTGAGGTCTTGTACGAACATCAACAGTTAATCCAGATTGGACAGTGATTGAAGACATTGTTGACGTTGCTGTTGTAGTCGTTGTAGTAGAAGTAGATGTTGCTAAACTGGATGTGGCACTTGTAAGAGTTTGACTATTTTGATTGGAATTAGTGTTGTTATTACTACTACGATATTTGTGATGGTGATGAG